GGGGGGGGGGGCAATGGGAAGGGAACGGGTTGAGAGGAAAGGATAGAGGCAGGCAGAGGGTGGAAGAGAAAAGGAGCCGGTTGAGTGAGAGGAGCAAGAGAGAGAAGATGATAAGAGATGAAAAGGCCTGTCTGAGATGGAGGAAGTACAGTAGGGGCTTAGAGGCTCTGGGCTTGTTTCAGAAGTCCTACAGTGCTCACTGATGTCACTGGGTGCACCCATTGGCTTTCATGGTACAAAAGAGTGTGTGTGAGTATGTGTTGTTTTGTGTATGTGATTTCAAGTACAGCTGTGCATCTACTCTATAGCTCCTCCCTGTGGCCGCTGTATAGAGCTTTGTAGATAAGTTTTGGTGGCCTAAAATCAGGATTTATCATTACGAAGGACCCTCCCTTTACTGTTCAGTGTTTGATGAATTAATTCCACTGGGTGCATTGGCTGGCCATGGACAGTTCCTGCCCTGCCCAGCGACTGACTGACTGTATCAGGATATGCAGAAAATCCCTTCCCTGTGATCTGCTTTGGCCCTCAGCCTCTAGCTTTGCCTTTATAATTCCCAAATACAGCCAAATCCAAAGGTTATTTAAGAAGACTTTGTGCATCTGTACTTTGATTAAATGATCACATTTGGAGCAGGAGCGGTGGTGTATTTGGGTTGCATTACTACCCATAAACGCTCTCCATTACAAGCTTTTCTGGCTTGTTGGCTCTCTGACCTTACATTTGTGTGTGCGGGAGCACGATTGAGTGCGCACGTGGGTCCCGCACACTATAGCTTAAGACAGGATAAAAGCTGGTGAGGTAGTGTACTATTATGTTGCTTAAATGCATACTAGATCCTTTTAACTGTTAGGGAAAGAATAAAAGCGGAGAGTGAAAAGCTCTCCCACCCACATCTGATTCTTTTTGCTGCATTGCCTGTGGCACAGTGTTGACCTAATATCAACTGTGTCTGTTTTGTTAAACACATTCAAATCAGTAGTACTCAAGCCTATGGGACATAACACTGTTTCTTATACTGTGACACACAAATACAAAAGCTGCATGGGTTATTGGGTTCACTGTCAAAAGATTGCAGTGAAATCAAAAGGTCTTAATGGACGCAGCAGTGCACATGCACTCACATCTTTGCATTCAGTGTATTCTTATCAGCAACGTAATGTCTTAAATAAACACACATGCATACACACTGCGTCTTTGTACTGCATTGAACAGCAACCAAGGAGTTTTGTCTGGATTTTATAGCATTCGTTTATTGTAAATTCCTCATGCAGCAAAATGCATTTAAAATTTATCTTCGGGGCGCACACACAAACACACACACACTGACAACTAATTAACAGAGAGGGTAATCAAGTTTAGGCAATTATTTAAGCATGGTCTATAACCTAAAATTGAATGCTAGTCTTACAAAAATTGTACATTCTGTGTTTCTGTGTTCAGTGCTGTTTTGTCCTTGTCCCCAAAGTTTCTTCCACATTTCGGTCATTGTTAGTAGGAAAGCGATAGGTATTCACCGCACTCATGAAAAGAGTGTTGTTAAACAATTTCCCCAAATTCCAATGATATGTGGTATTACGGGGATGTATTCCTGCTGTCTGACCTCTAGCAAGTGAGAGGTGAACCATGGCCCCCATCCAGACCATTAGTCAGACACAATCACACAGCTTCATAGCAGATTAGTCTGCTGTATTAGGACTTAGAGCTCTATTAATGTAATCCCTCTGTTTTAGTGTGGCCTGGGTTTAGGGGCTTACATGTGCACACCCACACACATACACACACACACATACACACACAGTTAAATACATGTATGCACGCACACATACAAGCTGTTTGGGTTATGGAGTTCACAATCAATGGATTAAGGTGATATTTAGACAGTAGCTTAATGGACACGGCACCGGCATTCTCTAAATGTGTTCTCTCTAAACAATTGCACACACACACACGTGATGCAGAGTGTACTGTTCTTCCTGGGAATCATCCATTCATCCATTCCTTGTTTTTATTTGTGTGCTGTATTCAAGTGAGTCTCTTAAAATCCCGGTCACATCCTCTGTTGTAACAGTAAATGTTCTTCTCAGGGCCGATGAGATTGAGATGGTGATGACGGACCTGGAAAGAGCCAATCAGGTAACTCACTCAACTTCCCAGCTGTACACTTTTACACAGCATTCTCCAAATTGTCAGTCACACCAGGCTCCACAAGTTTTTTGTCAAAATACTGAGGAAGCTGTTCTTTGATTTAAATCGTTAACATAAAATGTGTTTTGCAAAAAAGTACATTTGATTCAAAGGATCTAGTCTATTCTATATTTATCTTCCTGTCAACAAATGTTGTGAAACATGTTGTGTATCATCTGTGTATCCAAAGCCTGATATGGCCATAAAGCTCCACTGTCGTCCAAAAACTGGAAAACACACATCATTGAGACACAAAGTTGGATTGTGTTCCTTCATTACATTAAACATGTGTACTGCAGTTTGTTTTGTGTTGATCCCACATACACTGTCTCTTGCTCTTGTAAATATTCACTAGTGCAGCTGTGTATTAATCCACGGCTGAAAATAGTCCCCCACAAATACTCTATATACTCCTATTTGAGTAAAACTACAGTGCTCAGCTGTTTTAGAAATTATTAAGCTATTTAAAAAACTAAACTTCTTCAGTAGGAACAAACCGGAATGGATCTGACAGAGGCTGGGAAAGTTGGAAAAAGCATTAAGAGACAGACCAACATTTGTTTTTTTATGCGTGTACCAAAAATATAGAACATCACAATCCTTATCCTTTAAAACAGAAATATTCCTATCTGTTCAGAATCTATGAAATGTGGCTTATATTAACAAATAATGACTTGCTTATTTCTGAGAGGGCTGCTGTTTGTTTTACATGTTTATTACACACCTACTAAACCCATTCAGCTGAAATAAGCCTGTTGGCGCGCCCTCTGCCCTTGTGTTGTAAATATTCCTGTGGTATCTGTTAATGTCATTGTTGTTAACTTTCATTATTAGCCTAAGAGTATGATTTGTGGCTAAAGGGGTAGCATAGGCATGTAATGTTAATATTAGCCCGAAGGGTAGTGCTCCGACTATAATGCCACACACACACTATTCACACTTCTGATTTGAGGTTTACAGAGGATGACAGCATGGCCTCCAGCTCAGTCACAGACTTTTTATACGCTTTTATAAGGAGAAAATGGAAAACAGGATTTTTCTTTTGCGACTAGCAGTCCAACTCCCACCCAGTCAATAACAGCTCTCAATATGGTTGCAATTAGGAACACTGTGGAATCGGCTCCCTGTAACTCCTAATGATGGCAAGTTGGCCAGTGTTACAGATGATTCCCAACTGGAGCATGGCAGTTTGGCCATAAATACGAGGCATCGGGTATCATCTCAATTCTCAAAACTAATTTAATATTTTCAATTAAGGAAAAATCCTCCCTCGACCGTCGTTCCACACTTACTTTGTGTTCTCTCAGCCCTCCTCCACTCGTATATTTGTTTATGCTGTAAGGGGGTGGACTTCCTTTCCTTACAGACACAGTTGGCTGGTAGAAGAAGATGGTATATTGGAAAACTTTGTTCATTTTCATTTAATTGTCTTTTTGGAATGCCATTTGCTCAACGCTTTTTACTTTTTAACAGGAAGAAGTTTTTCTTTCTTGGACTGGAAGAGTATTCTCTTGTCAGTCTTCTCTCTCAGACCGACATATATTAAGTTCTCTGGGCTTAGTGTGAAATTGAGATGAAATGTGTGTAGTGTACACCAGAAAAACATACATTACACAGTAGCACTGAATTGACCAGTAGACTGATCATGTTTGACAATGTTAGAATCTCCACAAGTTGATTTTCCTATTCTCCTTCCAGCGAGCAGAAGCAGCTCAGAGAGAGGCAGAGTCGCTCAGAGAGCGGCTGTCCTTGAGTAACCAATCCCAGCAGCTGAGCAGCCCGGCCAAGGCCGACCCTGACACGGTAACACATTTCACTGCTTCACTGATTTACTGAATGGCTGACAAAGAGGTATTGATAGGCTAAAGATCAGCTTGGCCTTTTTTTATGCTAGAACCGATCAGTTGATTAAAGCTTCAATATATGGACCCACTGGTGTTAAAGGTCAGGCATTGGAGTCAATAGGTGATTGGTGTATTGATTAACTGATTTATTGGACCTGTGCAACAGACTGCAGTGGTGAGACTTAGTTATCTTAAAGACTGCCTGCCATACCAAAGTATCTGCTCGTGATGAATTACTTCTGATTATTGACCTAAAGGAGGAGGCCTTTTAAAACAATAATCAGTGAATAGATTAACTTCTGTCTGGCATAGAAATCCTGATTGTTGTAGTGATTAATTGATCTGAAAGCAGGAACTATGATAAAGACTCACATAGCTTTTGCTCATTAGATTAAATTGCCTTCCTATTTGGCCTTTAGGAACAGGCGGCCGAGGTGGCATCCCACTCAAGTCTCGAGGCGGAGCTCAGGGCCAAAGAAAGGGAGACCGCCCAGCTGGTGGAGGACGTCCAGAGACTGCAGGCCAGCCTGACCAAACTCCGAGAGACCACCAGCTCCCAGATCACCCAGCTGGAGCAGCAGCTCAGCAGCAAGACTGCCACTCTCAAGGTACCAACAAAACACACACCAGCAGTTTTTTGTTTTAAGTTATTTTCACATGTTTATTGTTTATTCCCTGTTATTCTGATCATACCTGTAACTATATTTACAAATGTACTTATTCAGTTCAGTTATCTAGAGTTAAGTCACTGAAATTAGAACAAAATCCATAAGGAATGTAAAAATTCCAATGATTACTTTTGTTATTTTATTTGTTTTAATTTCATTTCATGTCTTTGTAATCTACAGGAACTGGAGGAGAAACTGCAGAAGCAAGCTGATTATGAGGAGGTGAAAAAGGAGTTGAGGTGAGGAGCTGTCATAGAGGAGTGTATGTGCTTGTGTGTGTGTGTGTGTGTGTGTGTGTTTGTGTCCAGCACAGCTTTATTTATTGCATGCCTTTGATGTCTTTAACAATGTTAAACAAGATGCGTGTCCTCATTTAAGATGTGTAACTCAATTGAGTGGCCTTATGAAGGTGAAGCTTGTATTTCTGTTCTGTTCTGTTTCTGTTATATTGTGTCTCCTGCCCTTCTATCCTTTCTTTGTCCTTAAAGCGACAGAAATAGAAAAGGTGTGATGTGTGTAAATGTGTGTGCATGTGTCTTTGTAGAGGGTTCATATGAATTTCTTTTATCTCTCTACCCTCAGTATCCTCAAGTCTATGGAGTTTGGAACATCTGACTCCGTGCAGGTAAAAGTTACAATCTACAGACAAAAGTGAAATGAAACAACAGACTTACTGTTGCAGTACTAGTAATTAGGTCAGTGATAAAACAAAATTGTACAAACTAGATCACTAAAAACAAGCATTTGAACAAGGAGGCCGGAACAAAGTTTCTAAAGAAAAGTCTCATTTTAATTTCCGTTCCATTCGTCCCCTCCATCAGGACTCATCCAAACCTCTGGAGGTGCTGTTGCTGGAGAGGAACCGTAGTCTTCAATCTGAGAGCGCCGCTCTGCGCATTGCCAACACTGAGCTCAGCGGTAAGTCTGCCCAAATGTAAGGTTTTATTAAGGTCTGGGTTCATCAAGATTGGCCAGACAGTCTTTGCAAAACCTCAGTCCAGTGTTCATGGGAGCTTAGACGAGGGCTCAGCTGCAGGTAAGGCTGTAAAGATTTCGCATCAGGGTAGTGCATACATGCTGCATGTATGTACATAGATTCTTTTTCTCTGAGAATACTTAACTATTTCTTTATGTTTTTGGAATGATTTGCAATATTGGGTCCACAATATACAAAAGAAATGCTCTGCCATGGTACAGAAATGTTGTTGCTTTAGTCTCACACTTTTTGGAGGAGGAAAATGTATCTCTGGAGTCTTTGAATACCGCAGCAGGAGGTCAACCTGAACAGTAACGAAGTTGCAGTACACAAAAATGAGGACACCATACTATCGTCCCTACAATCAGGACTCTTGCCCTCTGCAACAGTGTTTATGGGTTTGAAATGTCATGGCTTTAGGCTTGAATAGTTGAATAGCTTTGAATTGATTAACATTCACAGTAAGGGGAGCTTACTGTCTTACTCAATCATGTTAAGTCTCAATGGTTATGCATTATAATAATATTTCTCCCAGCGCTTATCATCAAGATGGATTCCAGTAGTTACGAGACTGAGAAAATATAGTTTATTTATTTGTTTTGGTGAATGTGAAAATGTAATCAGTCTTTTAACTATTCAGGAAAGAAGTGAAATAAGGCCTTTACTCAGAGTCAGCAGAGCTGTACAGTCTCTGTTTTGTTTTGTTTTGTTTTTCGGTGACATGCATCTGTTTTGTGTTTAGCCATAAAAAATGTTTTTCAAAAGAGTTTTATTGCTCCAATTTTTTTCCTGGATGTATTTTTTTTTATGAACTAAAGACTATGATACTGCATCTACAATGGAATAATTCAGTGTTTAGGAACACACCGCAGCAGCATGGAAGAGGACTCACATGGTGTATTGGCTATCTAAGGACATCATTTTACCCTGTCCAGTTACTCCCACTTTGCCTGCAAGAGAGAGAGCGACTGAGCCCTGGGCCAAGCTAATCTGCCTAAATGGCACAGTGTCAATTGTTTTGTTTGTCCTTTTTTTTCTTCCAGGCTGTGGCTTACAAGAAAGGTTGAAATCACAAATGCATGGGCACTTTGTCTGGGGGGGTTGGCAAAAAAGGAAAACAAAGTTCACTAATTTGGAAAAGACTTGATTAAGATAACTTTCAACTTTTGTTCATTTTTTTTCTCTGTCTTTTTGGAACCCCTTTTTTGTTGACTCCCCCATAATGCATGGTGTGTTTGACCTTTCTTGTAGGGTCAGCCGGGCGAAAAGGGACAGAAGAGTCCTCATCGAAGGAGGAGACCATGCCCAGCGACCCCTCTTCTTCGCCCCCTCCTCCCCCTCCCTCTCTTCCTTCCTCCTCCCAGCTTCCTCTGTCTCGCACTCATACGGACCCCCTCAACACTGCCACCACCACCAGCAGCGGCGAAACGCACCCTTTCACTCCTACGGGCATTGGACAGGACTTCTACTCCCCTGTGTTCCCTCTGGTGGGTGGTAAGATGGCTTTGAACTCCCTGATCCAGCGGCAGCTGCTCCAGACCTTCTACTCCAAAGCCTTGCAGGAATCATCTGGAATCCCCAGTGGGGCTCTACTGTTCACCCCCTTCACCCCAACCCTCAGCTCCCTCCCTACCTCCACCCCTGGCTCTGGCTCTGCTGCCATCCCACTGGCAGCCAGCAGCCCTCAGCCACCTCCAGCCAGCCCAGACATGGCTCCCGTTAATGGGAGCAGCACCGCTGGCAGCGCCCCTTCCCCATCACCCAGCCACTCTGACGCCACCACAGGAAGTATTTTGGACGGGGAGGACATGGACACAGCAGAGATTGCCCGGCAGGTGAAAGAGCAGCTGATCAAGCACAACATTGGTCAGCGTGTGTTTGGCCACTATGTGCTGGGACTGTCCCAGGGTTCAGTCAGTGAGATCCTGGCCAGACCAAAGCCCTGGAACAAGCTAACCATCCGAGGGAAGGAGCCCTTCCACAAGATGAGGCAGTTCCTCGCAGATGAGCAGAACATCCTCGCACTGCGCAGCATTCAGGGACGGCAGAGAGGTGAGTCGGTGTATCTTTAATGTGTCTGTGCGTGCGTGAGTGTGTGTGTGTATGTGTCTTGCGTGTGTGTGTGTGTGTGTGTGTTCAGCCCTGCACAGAGCCATTGATTAGCCTGTCAATATGGACTAGCTTTTTATTTTTCTTCCTCTTTCCTAACTCCCATCCTGTGCCACACCTGTGTGTTTTGAATGAGTTCCTAGTCACGCACTGATCCCAAGAGTCTCTCCTAGCTATCGTGGTCAATACAGAAACCTTTCACACATCAATAGTATTGATTGGTGGGAACCAGGAGGAAGGCAGGGCTACTGTTAACTACGGGTAGATTCGATTAGCCTGGGCCTGCTTTTGTTCATGCATCAGGACATTTCTGATTGAAGGTGGTCTCAGTGGTACAAAAAATATAACCAAGTGTACCACCCTAGTCTTAGACGTTGCCCGTGTTAAAAACAAGATTGCAGTTAGTTTGCCCCTGATTAATGTGTGCTATTAAATATTTTATCCATCATATGTCTTTGTTGTAGTTTAATATTCCTGTTAGAGGCAGAGGTTTGATTCATACTGAGGCCACAGATGGAGAAGATCAATGCATTTATGGTACTTTAATGTGCATTGGATGGAAGTGTCCACACATTCCATATATTTGCAGAGCATTATAGGGCACCATTTAGTCTAGCTGTAAAACAAAAAACAAAACACACAAGTGCTGTAACATAGTGTGTGGTATATTGTTTTTAACAGAGGGCTCAGGCCAGCCCCAGCTTAGCCGAGTGTTTCAGGATGTTCCGAAGCGGAGAGCCCTCTCCAATACAGCTTCACACACAGGTCTGTCCCCTTCACACGCAGAGATTGTAGCACGTTCTGTCTGTGTGGCATGTTTGTGTTGGGGTGAACTGTATCTATGGTGTGTGTGTGTGCGTGTGTGCGCGTGAGTTGGCGTTTATTAATTTGCGGCCAGGCACACAGATATACATGTGCCTTGAAGGTAACCGCACAGTTCCAGTGACTTGCGTCAAAGGAAAAGCCAGCATGTGTATTTAGGGATTTTATTGGTAGTTGTTATTCTGTGGGGAGCATTTACTGTATGAACCCTGTAGCACGTGTGCATGTGTGAGCTCCGAAGGGACCAGAGAAATTATGACAATCCCTCCAGTGTAGTTGCCTTGTAGCTCAGTGGTGGGAATGTTGTTCTTTGTGCTGTGCTATGGTGTAATTATTTGATGTTCTTATAGGCTTGTTATTGTTGGTTATCTCTGCTTTTTAATCTGACAAGATTTTTCATCTCCTCCCGTTCCCTCTTCCTCTCCTTACAGGTAACATTACCGCCCGCGTCCGTACCCCAGAGGCGGGTTCAGATGAGGCTATCAAGTCGATTCTGGAGCAGGCCAAAAGAGAGCTGCAGGTGCAGAAAGCCGGTGAGTCGTAGTGTTTTTTTTTTTTTCCCCATCTCCAGACGACTCAAAGCATTAAAGATGATACATTGTGGCTGTGAGTGTTAGTCGGTGTCTCTCATGATGGCCCTTTTCTCCTCCCTCAACAGACTTGTCCCATGCACAACCCTCGTATGCAGGACTGAAAGGAGGGGGAGGAGGCAGTATAGGAGGAGGAGGAGGAGGAGGAGGGGGCAGCGGATCAGATGAGGCTATCCGCTCCATCCTAGAGCAAGCTCGCAGAGAGATGGAGGCCCAACAGGCTGCACTGGAGCCCATACTTAAAGCTTCGTCTTCCTCTTCCTCCTCTACAGCATCACTATCTCAGAGGGACCTCCTGAGCTCCCCGCTCACTGCTCCCCTCCCCCCTTATAACCCCTTGGCACTCTCCCTCAAGAAGCCCCACAGCTCCCTCTTGTCCTCCCCTTCATCCCCATCTCCTATCCTGGACTTCAGCTCCAGCGTGAAGAGAGAGGGCAGGGCTTCTTCAGGGATTGATTTGTCCACTGATGGAGCTTTCAGGCTGGGTCGGAGCTCTGAGGGGTTGAACCGCTCCGGAAGTTCTGGAGGAGTGGGTTATTGGAGAGAGCAGTGGTGGAGCAACATGCATACAGACCACCGCAGGGCCATAAGCAGCCAGACAGGAGATGATATCCACAACCAGGAGGACTCCAAAGAGGTAAAGGGAGACAAAAAAAAGCTTGTGTTGTATGTTTGTGCCCTTGCTCTTGTTTTTATTACTCTGTTTTTACTCTACAGCGGTTGCTTGTCTGAGCCATTCTCCGATTCTGTGTTTCAGGGAATATTGAGTGACAGCCTGTCTCGACACAAACCGTGGAACAAGTTGAACCAGAGGAACAGAGAGCCATACCTCCGCATGCAGCCGTGGCTCAATGGAGACCAGGGGCAAAACACACATATCCAGCAAGCTCAGAACCAAGGTAAACAAATCACACACACACACACCAGCACATAGAGTATATGGATTCACAAAACCAGGCTTCCTAGAGCATTACTCTGAATGTCTGATTAGAGCTAGTGGCTAGTTGTTACTGTCAGTCTGTCTGTCACTCACTGCACCCACCCTCCGCCTCCCACACCAGCCCCCTCCATCCTCCTCCCCCCACCATCCCCCCATCCTCAGTGCTGTGGCAGTGTCAGCCAGCAAGCTGCTGGTTTGTCATGTCATAGACAAGTTAGTGTTGCAGCGCCAGATGGCAGCTCTGTGTGTGTGTGTGTGTGTGTGCGTCCGTGTGCGTGTCTCTCTTTCTCTCTGGGGGTGTAAACAGCAGCTAATGTACACTGACAGCTCCTCATGACTGCTCTCTTCCAGCCTGCTGAGCTGCACAGCAGTACTACACAGACAGAGACAGGGAGATGAAGGAATAGGAGGTGGAAGCCAAAAAAGCTTCAAAATGAAAACTTAAGCACCTTTGCTGTTTGTTTAACAGGAATTAAATTAA